CAATTTGAGCCACTTTGGACCAGAACTGGAAGCAGAACTATCAGAAAGAAAATCATTCTTTCTTATTCTCAGCATCTGCTTTTGAATGAGATCCCCAGAGCACAGAGGGTCAGCTAAACACACATTTTAGAGATGATTTTTTGAAAAGAAACTTTTGAATGCTTTTGAGACTTACCCATACTTAGGAAAAGTGTAAGCTCTGGGGGACAGAAGAAATCAGAAATGAGGAAAAGCCTGTCAGACTTGCAAAGATGATGTAAACATTTTACAGAAACGTACACCAGAAAGCATGGAATATATCTTATTTCTTTACTTTTTCTTTCTGCAAATACTTATCAAATATGCTTTTATGGCAAGAATATTGCTGAAACCATTTTTGTTGGTGGCTGAATACTGGCAAGAGGCCAAATGAAAAATATTTGTTAAGTTTATGCACCAGACTTCCAATTACCAAAACAATATACATCTTACTGGAGAACAGAAGCAATATCATGTGACCTGCAAACTCCATCAAAACAACTCAATTTCTGACCATTAACTGTAATAAATTGCTGATGAATAAAGCATGCATAAAAATGCCTCACAGAAATTTGGTAAATAATCTTCAATAGTAAGGAAGATGAAAAAAAGTATTCCATTGCCTAAAGATAACTATAAAAAAATAGTGCTGTAATTTAATGGACAAATCATACATTGATAACAATTTAGCTAATTTGGGCAGAAACAGGTCAAACCAGATAAATCCACCTCTGAAGAGGCAGAAAGAAGAAAGACTTTCATCTCAGCATGTTGCTTAAGTTCAGCCACACTTCCACAGTAAATCACCGGTTCATCACTCATTTTAAATAATTCAGCCCATGCTAGCCAGGTTAGAGAGGATGAATAATATCAGGTCTTCCAATTTATTAGACTAACTATCACCACTTTTGTCTAACAAATATATTTTGAACTACTATCAATAAGTCTTACAAAGTATGGCCTGGCTGCTTGATGCTGCTCTCTATGCTTCCAGCATCTCTGCAAAAGGATGGATTTTCCCTCTAATCAAGTCCGATGAGAAAATTTGGGGTATTCAATTCCTCTGACTTAGAAGCTTTAGACTGGACAGAAAAAAAATATATATTTTTTCTCAGCTCTCCCAAGGCTTTCTTCAAAGAGGGACACATATCACTAGTAAAATCGCCTTCAAAGGGCACTGTCAAGATATCTGCAATAATTTTAAAACTCATTTGTTACTACTTGCTTATAATCCCTTTGAAGCAAGGAGCTAAAGTCTATTTCTGTCAGTACTACCTCTCCTCCAGCAGGCATAACATGCCAAGCAAAATCCTTTAACAACACAGCACAGAGCATGAAGCTGAATTTTTTTATATTTGCTATATTACCAAGACATACAGTGTGGAACTCAGCTGTATACCATGGCACAAAAGATATTAACTTGTAGGATGATAGATGCAGTAATGAACTGAACAGCACAGTCCAATATGCTATAGATAGGTCTTAATTAGGAGGCCAGGTAACAAGGAATCAAGAAGAACGATGGAACAGTGTAACATGATAAAATGTAGTAGAGCAAAGAGATATGGAACTTTAAAAATTAATCACACGTGAAACTCAGGAAAATGTCAATATGTGTCACTGGAGATTCGATTCGTTTGGGGCCATGACTGTACCTGTGCTCAGCAGAACTTCTTACAGTACAGCCCTGCTTTCAGTCTTTTAAAAATCAAAGATGAGAAGGGGCTCAACATCCCACAAAAGGGAGGCAGCAATAAAATCTCAGGGTGAGCTGGAGGGGTAAAGGCCTTCACACAAGAAAAGAAATGATAAGCAAGCTTTTTTGGTGTGGGTTTGTTTGGTTGGTTTTGTTTTTTAAATTGTTTTCTGTTTTGATCATAGGGTTGTAAACTGGCAGAAGCAGAAGGGAGGATTCCCTGTGGAAATTGGCTGCTTTGGTTTTAGCAACTTTCAAACAGAGACACGGGCCCTCTAAAGACTGAATTGGGCAATCCAGACAAAATGAAAAAGAGTTTGGATATTTTTTCCCCTTCTTTTCTTCTTCCTTAGGTTGAACAAAACCTTAGATAAGATCAATAGTTTCTTTAGTTTTATGCTTCGCTTCCTTAAGGGTAGTTGGCTTATTGTGTTTCCATTGATCACACAGACAGGGAGATTCGACAGAGACAAACCATCTTTTTTCTCCTCTCATTTCCGCCCTCCTCTCCATTTGAAATCAAATGACTTTTAAACGAGGCTGGGGTCACTATTCTTTCTCATTTACATATCAATAGTTCCAAATTCCTGCCTTATCTTTCAGTCACTAAACTATTTTAAAAATGAAGACCACATTTCAGTTCAAGAGAGGACACACACATTCCTTGAAAAAAACTCTAGCAGCAGCTTTTCCGGACTCTCTATTGGGAAAAACTAAGTCCTGGTTTGCCTCAGCCTTTCCTCGACGTCTGGTGAGAGGGAGCACACTTACCAGCCTTGTGCAACTGATATTTTAACCTCTTGCAGCCCCTATAAGGCTTTCTTGCTCTTCCCAAATCCTTTGCACAATCCCTATCAGATGTCCCTGTGCAACTCCAAGCACTGTATTTCCGTGCTCACAGCCAGCAAAGCAGCTACTTGAATGAATCACTTCCATCGCTTACAAGCAGGAAGAAAGCTAAAGACTGGGATCCAGGTCTACTGCGCTCTGTTAGAAGTTTGACCACTGATTCACTGAATGATACTGGGCTTGAGAACCTCTGCTGAATATAATGAGATGTTTTTAATCCTAGCTGCTGTTTGTACTGTACTTCAAGGTATAAAAGTATCAAAAACATAAGGGTGTGCTTGTCCAGGGGAGATTCTAGATACATCCCTACAGGCAGATCAATCCTATGCAATTAAGAAACTGATTCACAGTTAAACACAAATCTATTAATCCAAATACCAGAAAGTTCTAAATATAGGATGCTGACATCTCCTGCCTTAGTGTTAGTCTCAGTCTACTGTTTACACACACATCAGCTTGAGGGTCCAAGAGCAAAGAACTAAGGCAGGAGGGTCTAGAAAAACTTGACCTCTTATGTGATAAATTTCCAGTTTGCAGGAATAATTTCAGGGCTTCCAGATACTAATGAAGTAATTTTGGCTTGATAGATGGCATTTGAGTATTAAATGGTATTATGCAATGAAATCTTCAGGTCAGCCTGTCAAGTCCATACCCCTTCCTTCTTCCCATCAGGGGAAGAAATGCTCCCTGATGGGAATATCTATGTATCCTCCATCTTGGAGACGCATGATAATCCTAAACAAAGTAAAAAAAGGGGGGATATGTAACCTTATAAAAAATAACTCAATGATCCAAGTGGGACTCAGTGTTTTGGGGTGTTCCGAATAGAAATTTGAGAACTGCTTTCAGCTTGCAGACTTTCTTACGGGCCATGAGAACACTGGATTCTGTCACCAGTCACATACCCTCATATGTCAACTTGCTCTTGCCCTCAGTGGCTGCCTGTGGTCCTGGATCAGTGATGAAAAAGAGGACAAGAAAGAATGTATAAAATAATTTCACATATTTTAAAGGATTACTTCATAAAAAGAATCCAGAACCATCTGCATTAGGTCTTTCTGCTTATTTTTGGTGCCTCCCCTATATCATACAGGCCCCTGTGGATGGCACAGTGCCTAAGTGCTACATCTGAATGTGGCATTTAATGTTCTTTTTCTACTATTACAGTATATAATGGCACAAATTAAGCAAATTTGGGTTAGAGACCTCACAGATATTGAAGGAGAAGAAGAACAAGTTGTTAGATATTGATACAATCTGATGTGTCGCTGGTTTTAGGTCTTACTGTGGTTATCTACGAAATCAGTGAAACCTTCCTCTGTGGAGATCACTAGGAATTTTGTCATTGACTTCAGTCAAGGTAGATTTTCCCCCACTGTCTAAAAAAGATTCAAAACCACTGTCTTGACCTGTGGTCCCTATTAAAAAACCATTAGCACTTCTCAGGAGTAGGGAGTGTTAGATGTAATGCCCAGGGCAATTATATTCTCTTTCTTTAAACTGTCTGCTGTTTTTTCCTTCTGCCTTTCCTGTCTTGGAATTGATGTGCATATAGTAGAGCATGGTTAAAACAGCAGCTGAGTACTTCCTGGCTGCATTCTACAGAGAGGTAAAAGGATTAGTATAGAGCTTCAAAAGATAATCATTTGAATGTCTTATTAATTAATTGTTATTTGTAATAATGGCTCCTTCCTTAAGGGTCTTTTAGGATCTTTAACTGCTTATTAGTGCTGTATAGATAAGGATTGCTCCCTAGCGGGAGAAATGAGGTGGAATACGGAAGCCTTTCAATGAAAGCAACAGGTTTGGGAAGGAATAAGAGAAAGAATACACCATTTGAGTGAATGGAGAATTATGATCACTCAAATGCAATTACCAGAGTTCTTCCTGTGTACTTAAAAGGTGCCAAGAGATCTCACAGACCAATCTCTCCGATGCATTCAGTACAAGTACAGCCCTTCCTACCAAGTCTGGAACTTCATTTGATATGGAGTTCAGGTCTGTCTAGATCACAGTCACAGGCATCGCTTAAGCTTGAGCTCATGGACAGCTGTCAAAACTAGCCTCAGATTACCAACTTTTGGCTGTCATTAACAGGCAACTCCAAATGCAGGATTCTCAGTGCAAGCTCTAAAATTTAGCCAAGTGAATGCTCAGGTAACTAGCCCATACCAAAGCATGTGGTGCCTCTAGTATTCAAGTTAATTACCTTAGAACTAGGCTCAAAGATGTCCATATGACCTGCCAACACATTTTTTACACCACCATGAATGCCCTTATAAGTATAGGTGCTCTGTATCATCTCAAAAACACTCATTCTTTCAGCTCAATGCTTTTGGCTCTAAACATGGGTCCGGAAAGAGCAGACAATGCTAAGCATAATCTCCTCCACTTTGCCTTTCCAAACTCATGCGAAGTGCGTTAGGACAGTACTCACTTTGTAGAGTCCGTGGCTGCAGCCGCAGTACGTGCTCTCCATGGTGTAGCTCCTCAGCACACCTATTTCCTTCCATACCACCACCCGGGCCGTCGACTCCCGGGACTTCTCCACCAGGAAGCTGCAGCTGTTCATGACAAACGCAGGGGCCACCTTATCCAGGATTTTAGGAAGAGTCTATGAGAAAATATCAGCAACAATGAGAAATGAATTGAACAGATGTGCATGTGTTTATATCATACACACATATACAGAGACCTGTGGTTTTTAACGTGTACATCATCAAATCTATCTGTAGTAACAGTTACTGAGAGCTCCAACCAGTACATTATGTCCCTCCCATGTGAAAACCTCAGATTCTTATATTTGTTTCATCCCAAATACTGAAATGCAAAATTTCCAGTACGGGTGGTACATCTCATTCAAAAATCAAACATTTTCACACCCACTATTCTGGGACTACTGAAGTCACAGAGTTTTGTTTTCAAGATGCTTCAACATTACAGAATCACAGAATGATATGGGGTTGAAAGGCACCTCTAGAGATCATCTAGTCCAACCTCCCTGCCAAAGCAGGTCCTCCTAGAGCAGGTTACACAGGAACTAGTCCAGGTGAGTTTGGAATGTTTCCAGAGATGGAGACTCCACCACCTCTCTGGGCAGCCTGTTCCAGTGTTCTGCCACCCTCAAAGTGAAGAAGTTCCTCCTTATGTTTAGATGGAATTCCCATTACCCTACACCTTCCCGTTGTGCTGCTAAGAGGGGTCCAGTCACAGTTCAGTACCTGATATTCCCATTCTCCCCTCTCCACCTATTCTATATCTCCTCCCTTCATCCATCACTATGGAAGGAGTTTTGTCTGAACCTAGCACAGAGCAGAGAAAGGGGTTGTGTATTCTCATGGAAGGTTGCACATAATTAGACGAAAATAGAGCTCAACATTTAACTAACTTGCATTGTGAAACAAACTAAAATATTCTCAGCTGAGCCCCAGTGATATATTTTATACACCTCATTTAGAGAAGCACAATAAAAAATAATCGTGAAAAAACAGTAAAAATTGTATCCTAACCCTGGCTGATTTTCTTATTCTCAAAATTGTATTTCCCAACAAAGTCCATAAACACTCCTAATATGCTGCAGTATCAAATATTTTCACCAGTGCAGAGGCAACACTTACTTAGTCATTACACAATGCTAAATGTGTTACTTTTACACTCTATAAAAACATATACCAGATACATTAACAGCCTGTGTAGAAACTGGACCTTAATGTACACATACACACAGGCCTATGAGTATGACATGAGTACGTGTAAATTTTAGTGCTGGTGTGCTAATCACAACATGCGCCAAAAGACCATTTGATCCATCTCGAGAAGAGCAAGCACAATGAGGACATTAATTATTTCTTTGATGACAGCTTTCTTAAGCATCTGAACTCAATGGAATCATGTAGGAGGAGTGCCCGCTTATTGTTAATGGCATTTACCCTTGAATTTCATTCAGTTTGAGTGGTGAAAGCCAAACAGCTAATTTTACTTTCCAATAACAATCAGTTTCACTGACTGATTCTGAGCAATTGTAGTTCCGTTCTGTTGAGCTTTACTTCATAGGACTATATGGGAATATTTGGTTTCATTGAAAGTGAAACCACTTCTTTTCCTAAAACGTGTTTGATGTGAATGATAAATCTTTGACCTAAACTATTTTGCAATATCTCCTGCAAAAATGCTTAACTGTACACATCTCTGTAACAAAAAGGCAATTTTCATTTTTCAGCATATTCTCGCTACAACTTCCAGTGAACGTTACCAGCTCTGTAAGGTATAGATCTAAAGATCTATAAAGTCCATTTTTCAAATAAAAAAAAAATGCAGCAAAGAAAGGGATTGCATTTTAAATCTGGTACCACTGCGAGCCTAACTTAAGGCAAGATCTCCAGTGTGCTCCCTTTCCTGGGGGCACACTGAACAGAGGAATCTTTAAAATTGACAGTTTGCTGTAGACTAAGCATCCAACATCTCTGGATTGCTTTCAGAGTGCTATGTGCTGCCTGGGGATCACAAAATTGCATGCTTTCATGCAGTGCTTCTAGGCTTTCCTAGATTTGGGTTAAAAAGGAATTAAAAACTGCAGCAGAACCATATCACCCTGATGTTTATAAGCCTCGGTACAATCATAAGATTGAGTTAAACTGCATGTGAAGGTTCAGATAGTTTTCATTTTGCCCTTATCTGAACCAACACACAGATTTTTTTGTAAATATATACTATCAAATACAATAATCAGATCCCTAATCTGGTTTAGCTTTTTAAAACAATTGAAATTATATGCATAATCAATCTTTTACATTTAATTAAATAAAACCGCTGGCAGGTAACAGTAACGTCTCTGTACACAAGACTCATTTAGGAGCATTAGCAAACCTGAATTTAGTATTCTTTTCATTTTAGCAGCGTTCACTGGATTTCGCACTAATGGTTCTTTCTTCTCTACTTATTCTTCTCATTAATTATCTCTCAACAGTATATTTTGAAAGAGTGAAAACACACCCTTTTTAAGGATGCTTTTATGCTAATGCAGCAGTGTGACTGTTCTCGCGCACAGCTGGATTTAGCATGTACAGCAGCAAAGGGAGCTACTCCCCTCACACAGGAGCCTGTCCATAAACCTCCAATCCCATCAGACAAGAACGGAATTATATTTCTTTACTAATGTTCCTGCAAAGATTGTTGTCAAAGGGGCCTGGAATGACTATCAAAAGGACAAATCTTTAAGCCGGGCTTTGCGATGCCAATGCTGTGCAAATCACTCAAGGCCACCAAATATAAGAAGGTAAGGAAGACTCTTACTCCTGTATATTGCCAAAGTTACAGCTGAGTCTATGAGCTACGAGGCAAAGGCTGTTCCAAAAACATTTTGTTGAAGTATTTGCTTCCTGTTCCCGTTGAGAAAAATCAATCATGGAGGCCAGATTAATCCTCAACTACCTGCAGAAGGCAGGAGAGAAACTTGAGCAAACAGTGGAAGGAAGCAGGTCTGAGACAGGGCTGATTTTCTGCTGCAGTTTGCAATTGTAGATGTGCTCTCCTGTATACCCATTTTCCACTGCCTAAGAAGGACAAGGGTGACCCATAAGCAGAAATTGCAGCAGGCACCCATCTCCCTTTTTGTGGAAAAGAGAGGATTTGAACCACAAAATCATTCTTATAGATGGCTGTCAAGTATTCTTGGACAGCCTCGGAGCTTCGCTCCTGCTTTCTTTGTGGGAGATGCAAGACAGGCCCCAGATGCCAAAAGCAGTATTTGAATTCCGTTTGTGTGACAGCAAACCATCCTCAGCCTTTTGGAGCCCTCTGAATTCAAACACAGCAAAAGATGTCCTGACTTTAAGTACCTTCCCTGCTTTCTTTGTGAAACAAAGTGTTTGCCACAGGGCCCCCTCATGTTCAGTATGCTGTGTACAATGCCATGAGAAGAACGTGGAAGATGTGGCATCCTTATGGGAGGATAATTAGTATTTGTGCTGAAGTAGCAAAAAATATACAGAGATGTAAACTGAAACACACTTTTCAACCTCCTTCAGGTTGGAGTGAACCAAGCTATAATTCTAGAATCAGTTTAAGGCCACAATTAATGGTTTGTGAAATTAACCTCTTTTAAAACTATAATTAGAGCATATAAGATTCTTTTTTTTTTCCACAGAAATTTGTCGTTTAAGTGGAAGATATCTTCTAAACACACACACACACAAAAAGAAAAAGGTAGGAAATCAGAGTCTGGTGAATGAGACATTCACATGAAGTAGAACTAAAACAGATTTTAGTATTTGTTCTTTCTAATTTCAGAAAAATTACACTCACTATGACACCAAACACTTGCTGTGGAGATAAGTCCACTACATTAGATCCGTTTGACACCCCTTGAATTCTCTGGTGTTTTTAGTGGGACCAGGAGCATGATGAAGATGAAACAATTCAACTGAGTAGGACAGTGGCACATTGTCATTTCCTCAGTTACCATTACATAATTCCTATTTATTTTCTTATTGTGGCAGAGAGAGGGGACAAAAGTGTATGCATATTTAGAAATTTTAAGACACAAAAATTACATATGTCCTATTTGTCTGTAGCCAAAGAATATAACACAGCATCTCACTAAAATGAGAAAAATCAGGACCCGTTATTACTACTCTTGCTAATATCTGCTGCATGAATGTATTATGAATGATTTGAAACTCTCTGGATTGTTACTCCCCTGGAGAAAGCAGAACTTTCACCTATCTCCACAATTTGTGAGCTGGCCTTATCTTAACGAGTTGCGTACATGCCCATACACATTGGTAATTGCAGAAAGGAACAAAGCAAACCTACCCTGTAGCCAACATCTTCTGTGATAACTGCTGTGTCAACCATGCAGCCCGCTTGCCACAAGGTCTCCTTGATGCTGCAGCCATAAAGAAACACGTTCTTTCTCTGGGAGTGTCCATGGTAGTCACAGAATACCTAGGGAGAGGGATAAAAAAAAAAAAAAAGGAAAAAAAAGGGAAAAAAAGAGATAAAATCTTGAAGACTGAAAACATTTCCTGGTTATTCATAATAACCACTATAATGGGGGGTTTAATGTTTTTTTCAGGTCTCTACAGAGGAGCTTAGACTGTGTCATGCCTATAACCTGTGTCAAACTTTGTTAGTCAATTGTGTCTTTCTTTATCTATTCAATCTGACATGATCTCAGGGATGCAGAGTCAAGACTGGTGCATTTCCATCTGCAGCAGAAATAAACATGACACCTGTGCAAGAATCCATGGCAACTCAGGAACATAAGAGTTCATGGTAACTCATGATACAACAACAGAGCAATTTGTCGGGTTTTTTGTACTTCTAAACTCCTGAACTCCAGTATTATCCTCATGAGATATGAAATCTGTGCTTTCCCAAATTATTAATCATCACTTGGTCTTCTTTAAATTCAAAACCTATGCTACATCATTTTTAGGAAAATATAATCATGCAATTGTATTGCACAATGTTATCAGATCTTTGCATGAATTCTTGGAAGCCAAGCACAGAACGTGATCTTATCTTCATAGCAAATAATCTCATTCCACATGGTCTAATCTAGCTGTCTCTCTCATCTGTCTCTCTTATGCAAGCTGTCATATAAACTAGGCACATGCTACATTCCCAGTTTTAGCGGAAGTTTTGATTGCCTTTATAGGCAGATATCGACTCCTATAGAAATGAAAATCACGATTTAATGACCCAAGAGGTAAATATTGACCCAAGTCTTAAAGAATAATCAATCTCAGTGCCCTCTGAGATATTAAGTCGATATACACACTGCTGTTACATATATTCTCCATGTCTTTATCAGGAATATTCAGAAATCTGTCAATGAAAAGACAAGAATCTCTGAAGAGAAGGAATTGATTCATTTTAAACTAATATTCACCACGGAGTAAAACAGAGCTTCAAGATTTCATTGAAACAGCTTTCCAGGGCTAATGTTGAAGACAAAAGAATGGGTGTAGGAAGGTAGGGAAGGATTGTGGATCAATATAAAGAGAGTTGGGGGAGAAATATCAGGTAAAAAATATACATATTCTTATATAAATACATTTACAAGAAGGGAGAAACAGATGGAGTAGATGAGCTTCTTCCACCAACTGCTAGGGCAAGATTTACCCTAATGTTCATTTACCAGCTATACAGTAACTAAGTTTAGCTGCAGCAAGTCAGGGAGTTTAATTATCTAGGAATTGAGGGTGTACAGTCTTTCAGCTCCTCTGACAAACAGTCGGTTGTCATACTGGAGAGGCTAAGGCACACATACATAAAGAACCATCTCACTGCTCCTAATTAGCTGGACAATTATACACCTCAAAGTGCACCATGCACTTTCCACACATGAAGCATGTGGACAGTGACCCATCCAGCAACAACCTCTCCTGCCCTACAACCATCCTCACTGCCTGGCACAGGCAGAAAGGGAAGGACAGAGAAGCCTGAGAGCTGCTCATTGGTGCAAAACTACAACCAGCATCACTTCTAAAGGAAAAAAAAAAAACAAACAACTAATATTGCACAGACCCCAGAAACTCAGCCCCCGCAGGCTGTGTACGTATTTTGCAGGGTTATGCAACCCCTGCACTTGAAGTAACTCTGTTTGAGCCACGTGCAATTATCCTGTAATGTCTCCTTCCAAAGAGCTGCTTTTATTGGCTCTCTTAATGACAGACATTTTTCCAGCTAGTATTTCATCTAAGCTATCAACAACACACAGTCATAGTTTAGGTTAACCACAGGTACCACCTAGAATTTATTCCTATGAATATCAAAGAGGATTTTATAGCTTTCGTCTTATTTCAATGCAGAGAGCCCAGCTCAATTGGGTATCAATTACCTGCCAATTTACAGAATTACCAACACACAAAAGACACAATATATTATCTGCCTAAAATATTACTTTACATATCAGAAACCACAGAAGGATGATCAGATAATCAGGTAGCTGGGCTGCCTGATCAGTAGCAGGTCTATAATTCTGCACCTCAAGAAACATGCACATGAGCCTTTAGTGACAGGTCTGGGAAGAGATTATTGGTAAAGGGTTATCAAAGCCAGGTTCTGTAATACTGCTACTATTTAAGGCCACAGGATCTTTCACTGATTGTCACTGGCTTCCCCAGCAGAGGCAGTGCTACTGGAAATAATTTTGTTCTGCTTGTAAGTTGCGTAGAGCTACATTTTAATTAAGTTTTCTGGATAATGCAGTCACTCCCAATGTCTATAATCAATTGTTCTTTATAATACATTCTTCTGCCTCATTTTTACTCTACAGGGTAGGTTAAGCCTCACCATTCAGCCAAAGATAAGCTATATTTTGTAGTTTGAGCTGTAGTTTGATTCTTCCTGGGATGTGTCTGGGGAAACACTAATCAAACTTGGAACCTACCAGTCCTTTTTCTCCAGCCTCTCCTTCCATATGGCTGGGACACTAACACACACAAGCCAGTCAAACCCCCGAGGCTTGCATTCACTGGGATATGACTCAAGACACACACGCAAATTTTTATCTATTTAAAGCTCTTTGCCAAGCACTGATCATCCTAAAGGTAAGCACTGCTTTCTAACTCAAAAACAACCCTCCTCATGAGTCACAGAACCGGGCAACTTCTAAAATAAAGGAAAAGCAAAATAGAAAATGGAAAGCAAGAAAATCTGTTGGAAAACAGAACATTTTTAAGTTAGGGTTATTTTGTTGTGTAAAGCCTCATTATTTTCCTTAATAGCATAGTGACGGGGCTTTGAATATCAGAGTTTTGAGGTAGACATGTCTAGGGCTCTTTTCCTCACAATGAGCCACATTCTTGCAGGCAGATGCTTGTTTCCAAGCCCAATATAATGCCTTTGAATAGCAGCAAACTCTGCTCAATGCCTCCTGGTCCCTAGAAAGTTCTTTCTGTCCCTGCCATCCTGCTCTTCACTGCACCTCAGACTCTCTGTACAAGTGCTGTGTGCTGCAGCTGCATTGTCAACCATAACCTTTAAACCATGGCAAGTTTCTCACCACAAATGCTCAAGGAGTGAGCAAATTCTCTCTCCCTATCAGACTTGGCTGCTCCCAGACAAAAGGTCTCCCACACTCCCACTTTCCTGCTCTCAGTCAAAAGGAGATCCCATGCCACAGAGAGAAGTAATGCCACAGTGCAACTAGTCCTTGTCCTACTAGTGTTCCCAGAGCCAACAAGTTAAAAAAAACCAAACAAAAGAAGCATTTAGCAGACTGTTGTCTGTAGAAGTTACCAATTCAAATGGCTTTGGTTTGAAAGACAACTTTAAAGTTCTTTCCCTTTCTCCTTCAAGCAGCTTTGAAGAAACTGCTCGTGCATCCCCAGGATAAATGAAACTAAATCATTTCACAGACATCATTTGGCTATCAGTGAACTTGGCTCCATGGGATCTTGGAGGAAAAAAAGAGAAAAAAAAAAAAGAAGAAGAAACCAAGCTCTCTTCTGGAGGAGGGAAAAGGCATTTCTGAGCACATATAAGCTAAAATCAATGTACTCTTCAAAGGCAAAGAAAAATCAGTTTACCAAGTCTGACATGCAGCCTGCAAGTGAGGGAGACGATAGGATCAATAGTCTCCCTTCACTCAGCGATGATGAAAACTTGCACTGAGTGCACGTTCAACTTTACGCACCGGCATATGACAGGGAGATTGTGTATTAAAAAAGGCCAGAGAGCAAATAACAGGGTAAAACGAGACTGAACCTACACCGCTCCGAACCAAAGGAAAAGGTTGGTGAGTAAATACTCAACTGTGAGTTGAGTTTCCATAATATTCCTTGGACTGCAGAGTTGAACTTCAGGGCTGTTGCTTTAGTCAAAAACCACATTCCCACAAGAATTCACTTAAAGAAGCTCACAGACATTTTCACCTTCCCTGGAGCTTCACTTATCACATCCAGAGGGAATTTGGTGTCCTTGGATGTTTCCTGCCTGACTGTAGCTACCAGCAGCCAGCCTGCCAGTCTGTGCATTCACATGTGTTGATTAACATTTAAACCTCCCTGTGTTTTTTCTCCTGAGGTCTCAGAATCATCTTTTCATTCTGCTGGTCATCAAGACTGAGAAGATGGGAGGGATCCCAGCCCTATGCCATTTACAGCTTTGAGACGAGACCCAGTTCTCACACATTTCTAGTACTCCTCAAACCCAGCTGTTTTCTTCCCGTCACTAAAGCAGCACCATCCCAGAACCAAAGTTCAGACATTTCGAGGGCTGTTCCCTGTGTTTTTGTGATGGTATGGGTTATTCCATCATGGGCTTTTGCACAGTCCATTCACACTAAATCATTGTGGAATTTCTCCTATCATTGCCATGAAGATAACAATGACATACTCATAATATTTATCTCTGTTTGAGTACTTTGAGTCTATTACAGAGCTTTAAGGAATTAATTTTCTCATTTATATTCCAGGTGTGCAGATTCTGAAATTTGGAATTGTTAGTTAGAAGATTCATTAAGTAATAAATATGCAAGACTTTCAAAACAGTTTTGTAAAATGAAAGTGTAACAACACATGACGCTTTCCAAATCTCTCTAGCTCTAAAACAAAAGTGTTCACACAACTACAGTATGCAAGCCATACGCAGTAACTCACAAAAGATCCTGGAAAAGACTCACCAGAGGAGCTCGGCCAATGCTGCGCAGGTAATAGAGAAGACCTTTGGCATGATAAATAGTTGGATGGAGCTGGGAACTGGGTGTCAACCACTGCCTGTTCAGATCATCCCCACTCAGTGAACAACGATGGCTGAAATCAGAAAGCAACACATAACAGACTAGCAAAGCAACAGCTGATTCCAAAAATTTTCTGGTTCTGGCAAGCTCTGGCATAAGGACAGGGAATGTCAATTGCAACACAGATATAAAGGTTTTCAACATTTGGCTGGAATGAACCGATGGTCCTTACTATATTTCAAAGGTGTTTGTATTATATGAATTTTACAATTTTTTTTCCTTCCAAGGTTCACATAATTGCAGTCTTGAAAATAAATGTAATTTTTCCTTCACCTAAGTATGTACAAATCAAATGACTACTTACAAACAAAAGTCTTCTGAAATGTTCTAAATTCTGTGCTATCTATGAAATTCAACCAGCTTACATCGAGCACAGGCTTCTCAAAACCTCCATAGCAAACAAGTACATCCAACTCCTACTCATTTCTAATTGAAGACAGGCACTTGAATCTCTTCGACCAGTCTGAAATATGAATGCACTTAAATGAGATGAGCTAGATATCTCATTTAAGCTTCTCCACTCACAAGAAATGCCGCTATCTAAAGCGCATCAAGAAGATCTTGATGCATGCTACATCATTATGTAGAACAATTACCTAGCTTCACTGCAAAGGCTGAATAAAAAGCTCAATAAGGATCCCAGATTTGCACTGCGAAGATGTTTCCCTTAGTTGGCTTTAGCATATTCTGTTACCGACTCGGTGATCAGTGGAAGACTGTGCAGGATACTGGACCATATGGAGCAGTACATCACTGTAGAATTTTGCAAAAGTCAACTAACATCCCTTGTTAGCGACTGTGTAGATCAGAGTCTCCTCACCCTCCTCCCCTCCTCGAAGAATTTGCTGTAATTTGATTCACAATTTTCAAATCATGGTGTGCTGATAAAATTCAGGAATCAACCCTCCATAATATGAGATATTGTGGTAGGTCCTCATCATCTCCATACTACCCAGTTCAGCATTAGAATGCTTCTAGGGGCATTGTAAACTTAGGCTGGTTTGTGCTTAAAAAAAAAAAAAAAAAAAAAAAAGAGTCCCCAGAAAACCCTAATTGTTGGGTGAATTTCTAACTACAGAGGTGCATTCAGCTTTGTTGTTCTGGCCTCCTAGAACAAAATAAAGTATAAATGTATTCCTGAGGATGTAGTCTGTTGTGCCGGCAGAGCTTCATACTGCAGCTTGGGTGTGTTGCATGTAGCATCTTTAGCATTATCAGTGCCTTGCAAACAATGCTTGAAGAAAAAGGGCGTTAAAACAGGAGTGCTTTAAAAATAAAAATAAAAAATATTAACAACAGAACCGGTTAAGAACGGAAGACAAAAAAATAAGAGTCACTAAGAATATTTCATACATTTTTAATGTAGAAAAACAAGGTCTCTGATGCCATCTTGGGGTTTCTGGCAACATCACAAGATCCATTCCAAGTTTACTCCAGTTTCCCTGTTAGCTGAATTCCCTTCTTTCCTTGTAATCCATAATTCCCACGTTACTCATTCGGCAAATCGGAAAACATTAGCAATAGCTAACACATGGGAAGTTGGCAAATGCTGCATGATGCTTCTGCCAAAAATTCTACATGAAACATGACAACTTCTGTTATGTTTCTTAAAGGCTCTTCAGATAAAGTTACCTTTAGGCTCACCTCTCCTGATCTTCAGGACAACAGCTGCTCAACTGAGATTAGCAGCTGTATTTCTGCCAAGAACTTTTGTTTCCTTTCAATAGGTACAACTTCACATAAAAAGTCATTGGTTTGCATTCAGAAACTCATCTTTCTCCAGAGTGACTAGTAAAAAATAAGACCCAAACGCTTCTTTGACTTAAGTATGTGATGTCTTCCTGCACCACAGTTATATCAAGGAACACAAGTAATTGAAAAATAACAACAGAATTTCCATTCTGTGGAAAGAATGATAGCTGGATTTTCATTATCATGCTTCAATTTAACATCAAGGCGGGAAGGCCGGGGGGGGGAATGTCTTGCTATTTCAGATCTACAGAAATAGTTTTTCAAACCCTACTTCCTCCATCTTTCCTGTTGGTATTGGCACTAGTTTCTATCTACCCAAATCGTCCACACATGTCCCTTTGCTAAAATGCTTGGTAAACGCTGCAAGAGTCCAACATACTAAACCAAACATGCAGGAGAGTAGAAACATGACAACTGAAAACTACTCCTAAAAGGATTCAGTAAATGCAGAGATTAATGTCAAACCAACCCCGAGCTCAATTTTTATTTCACTATTTCTTAGACTGAACTAAAAGCTTCTGTAAAAATTTCCCTATTCTTGCAGAACATATAAATAAATCCCATTATCTGTTAGAAAAGCATGTAAGAAAAACTCCAAATCGAGTCTATTAACACACATCAAAGCCAAGTAGACAGTGTGACAAGGCACTGGTGATTCCTACTGCAGAATCTGCTTCTGCCATGGGCCATGCACTGCTGTGCATCACTCACACACGTGCACAGGTTCCAAACCACATGCCAACATCTCTGCTCTCCACAGCACCCTCACTGTTTGGGCAGGTTTCACTCTGTCCATAATACAATTTACTAACTCGGTTGCTCTGATGCAAATTGTGAGTTTTCGTAGAGGTGACCCTATGACAAGCCAATCCCTCCCCTGCAGTTCACAGATGTTGCTGGTTGCTTAGCATTAGTTTAGTATTTGTAATCCAACTCTAAAACAATCATTTGAAAGCTCTTATTGACTGCAGGGAAAGAAGCAACATCTCGGCATGTAGGCAAGAGCTGGGAGACAAAGTTCAGCTTTGTCCCTTCAACGATTAACATCTCTGCTCATTTAAATGACCTTTAAATATTAGCCCTCAGCCTGGCAGCTTGTATCCACAGCTCTTAAGGAGATGCAGAAATTTAATTAAATTATGAGAGGCTGATTTTTCCCATCCTGCTCCCTCCTCTCTTCATACTGTTAAAGTCTGTTTACTTTTGTAGATGCCAGCCCTGTTCCCCCTTGTTCCTTCCTTTCTTTTCTTTCTTAATAGCGATGACATTCGCAGATAATGGTTTTGTCCGTTATGCTCTGCAACCAGGGGTGAAGGTAAAATATTAAGCTGATTTCAAGTACTGATAGCAAATAAAGGGACTGAGAAGCTGAGACTGGCTTTGAATGTTTGGCAGGATTTAATGAAATTCACTGCTCAAATCAAAGGCATTTCTTACAACACAGTTCCAAGGTATTATATTTGCTTTAAACATTTTATGTGTCTTTTCTGCTTTGCAGCATTAGCAAGACTACCTGCCACCTTGGATGGGACTAGTAGCAGCTCAAAGGAAATTATGAAAACATTTGCCAAAAATAATTCCAGTAAGTAAATAAAACCCCACCTCTGTGCCTCTATACAGACTACCTGTAATTCTATTTGTTACATATCTTCAACCCAGATGCATTATCCAGCTATATTCAAAACAAACTGCATTTCTCTTGTTCACAAGCTTGAAGCCTTTATTACAGCCCTGCATCCTCTTCCCCTGTAAACAGCCAGGACATTCTCTGATGTGCCTCAGCCTATGGAACAGCTATTAGTGGTCTCCAGGGCAGTGCATGGCTACCAGGTAGAGCACAGCAAAAAGAGACGAAACCAACCCTTTTGACCTTCTCAAGCAGACCCTAGTAGTATTTCTGTAGGTATCTGTAGAATGGCTCAAGAGAAGTTATGGAGCCGGTGGAAGGAAATTCTCTGATCCTTACTAACTAAACTTTTCCAAATGGATGTGGCCAGAAAACACTGACTATCAGGAAGATAAAGGGCAAGGGAAAGAAACACTTGGGCAGCCTGTCCTTCAGATATATTCTAATAGTGCCAGATACTCCAGTAAGATTAATAAAACCAAAGCATTCAAGCCATGCATTCCCTGAAGAAAACATAACTCATGTGACTGGTTCCAAGTAGAGTAAATTCATCCTTAGATGAATTTGTTGGTCAGTGCTAGCTTCAAATATCTTCATTATATGCTACCAAGAATATTCCTATTTCTTTGCAATCCTCAGCTCTAAAGATATATAAATGCAGGTAGCCATGTAGGAGAACTACTCTACGAAAACCGGAACCATGGCATATCAAGTTGCTACATCACAGACGGAAAGCTCAGGTTGAGATTCTGCTTCTGAACCCATAGGACATAACTGCACTTCTAACTGAAGCATTAGACTCTTGCTCTGAAGGCAGGGACACCTCACAGGGAGTTAATGAGAAAGGTTAAGTAGCTAAAGAACAGACTCATTCGGTTTAAGAGAGAATTGTATTTTAAATCTGTTTTCACTTGTAAGACCCTGCTTTTAATCTTGTACCTCAAAGCCTGACGTTAAGTTTTACTAAAGATGTGTTTTCTTTGTTGCCTTACTCTTAAGCCTGCTTAGCTTTGAGGACAAAACTGCACTAAACTGCACTGAATCCCGCACAAGCTGTGTGTATGGATGGAGAGATGCCACCTGGTCATAACCTAAGGCTTGATTTGGTCAATGGAAGCTTTTAGTTAATTGCAATAAGCCTGGACCAGTGCCCTGAACAGGTAGAGAAATTGTCGGGGGGGGTGGGGGGAAGGGAGGTAGAGTTAAAAAGGTAGATACATGGGAAGAACAAAACAAAAGAGAACAGGAGGTAGAGAATAAAGAGATTGGGGGATAAATATAATGCACACGATATTAGACAAGGAAGAATACAAGAAATGGAGAAAGTCACTTTTTAACGAAAAGATGTTGCTGTGCTTGGAAGATAAAATGATTCAAAGTCTCCTGTCCATTACAGATAAATGGAAAGACAGAGCCCATCATATCAAATGAATGATGTCAGAACTGATAATAACTGCACCTGGGGCACAGGGAACTATAAAATCTAAAGGGATGCATTGTGTTTGATATGTAGAGAGCAGCATCACCATTCACTGCGCATCTTAAAAGCAGACAGCAGTACTAGCATAGGATAAGAATATCTATATAAAAGGAAGTAGGCACAAGTAAACATCAGGATGCGGCTGAGCAGCATG